TAATAAATATGTATATTAAGCTTCTTAAATATACATCTCTAACATATTTTACTGATTTTATTCTGTAAAATCATAGAGTGAAACTTTAAATGGTTTCTCTGCTTTAAGACCCAAGATCTTAAGGATCCGTTTGATTGTAAGGGTTGAAAGAAAATGAATTACAGTGGAAGTAATTGCCTAGAAAATGTTTTGTAGGGAATTGTTAATCAAGTGTGTTTGATTGTTATAATTTTTCACCTGGAAAATTTTTAAATTTTGTGTTCGTTTGACTTTGTTTTATATGGAAATTGTCCATTAAAGTGATAATTATTTCTACAATTAGTTATAAAATTTGTTTCTATTTCCAAAAAGTAATAAAAAAAACGAAAAAAAAAATATTTCCTAAAAAATCATTTTTTTTAATCAAAATTTAGTGTTCGTTTGGTTTTGTTTTACATGAAAATTAGCCACTAAAGTGAAAAAAAAAATTTACAACTGGTTATGAAATTTCTTTCATTGCCAAAAAAAAAAAATGAACAAAAAAAAAAAGAAAAGAAATTGACGTCGATGGAAAATGAAAATCCAACAAAACAACAAGAAAAGAAATTCCATGAAAACCTTGAAAAAGTGGTGCGTGAGTTTTAAAATGGAAAATGAAATCCATGGAAAACTTTGCAAATCAAACAAGGAAATAGGTGGAAAGTGGAAAAGTTTTTCCTAGTTCTAGGGAAAAGAACTACAATCAAACATAGCCTAAATGTTTACAATATTGTACAAAATATTCACTTTTCACTGTGTGTTTGGCAATCTATCCAATTTTGGTAACACTTCCAAAAATGACATTTTTTCAAAAATTTTGACAAAATTATCTTTAAAGACTTTACAAAATTATAATTTTGTATTGACATTTGAAAAGTGAATTGACAACTCTTTAAGCTATATATACCTCTAAAATACACAAACTTAACAACACACAAAAAAATTTCTCTCTCCTCTAAAAAGTGAGATCGACAGATGCCTTAACTCGCTTATACATTAGTGCCTCCACAATGCAAGGCTTCATCTTGACTATGTATCAGTGCTTCGACTATATAAAACCCCTTACATGGATGGATCAAACACCATTGGTTTGCCTCTATAGTGTAATATTGAATTGCCCGCCCCGACAATCCAACTGTCGTTCTC